ATATATATATATATATGTGTGTGTATTTTTACAATATATTTCATGCAAGATTACAACGACATGAGAAAAAGATTTGTTTATGCAAAATGATTAGATAAATACTTACAAATAAATAAATAAAAAATATGTAATATCATAATATTCTTATTCAAAACTACAAAAAATCTAAACAAAGGCGATAGAAAATTTTCGATTGGCTAGATCTATGTTCTACTTTTTTGTACAAGCATTCTATTATTTTTTTGTCACGCTTATTATAAAATCTCAATAGAGTCAGGATTATAATGCCTGATTATGATTTCTGTCAAAGAATGTATAATGTTGATTGTAAATATTTCTGTTTCATGAAGCAAACTGGCAGTATAGAATACTCTATTCGAGATGAATAAAAATTAAAACCGAAAACTATATTTAAATATTTGCTTATGCTAATTTCTGATATCTGAGGACTTTGGATCAGTCATTGCGTGACATTACAAGATTAACTCAGTGATCAAGCCTGTAGAATTTGCCGAGATCTTATTTCTTCTTGAATCTCTATTCGATTGTAATATACTAGATGCAAAAGATCGAAACGAGATTAACAGCAAACTCTTCTTAAAAAGTAAACCATTATTTTTTTCAATAGATACTGATAATAAAGAATAAAGAGCGTAAAGAAGATAACAATAAAGAGGATAACAATAAAGAGGATAACTTTATAAAAGACAGATTGCATCATTTTCAACAATTTTCTAAAGTATAATGTATTAAAACCTAATCATTCATGTATACTTGTTTTTATCATCTGCAGCGACATAAAATAGGCTTTCTTGCAGTCTTTGTTTCGACTTTTTATTTATGGCCGTTATTGTACCATCTTTTATCGCTGTATCCCTTGTTTATCATTCTTTGTTTTCTTTCTTTACTTTTATATAACTTTTATTCTTATATTTTATTTGTATTATTTTTGTTATTTTTACTATTTTCTTATTCTTTTTTTTACTTTTGTGATCTTAGAGAGCTTGCTTTAAATAGTA